CTCTCTCTCTTTAAATATATTTTTATTGATTTGAGAGAGAGGAAGGGAGAGAGATTGAAACATCAATGATGAGAATCATTGATCGGCTGCCTCCTGCACACACCCTACTGGGGATCGAGCCCAGAACCCGGGCAAGTGCCCTTGAATGGAACTGAACCCGGGACCCTTCAGTCCGCAGGCAGACGCTCTACCCACTGAGCCACACCGGCTAGGGCCCCGCTATATTTATGGCCTGAAGAACAGTTAGTAGGTGGTGGAGGAGTAGATGCCCACAGAACCTTCCCTCGTCGCGTATTAAAATGCAAGGCTGGTGTACGCTGCAGGGGCTCACCTCTGTGGCAAGTGACGAGGAACGCAGCCCTTCACGTCAGTATGACAAACCTATCAAAACGCGACGGGTTCCTCGGGAGACCGCTTCTCGTCAGCCTGACCTGTTGTCTATTTGCTGGAAAGCACCTGTGCCTCCCCAAATGTGCATGCCTCGCATCTCCCCCGCAGACCGAGCTCTAGGCCGCGAACATGGACGCGGACAGAAACGGACTCAGAAAGAACAGACATGCCTCTAGTGGCTGTTTCTTAGGTTCCAGCTAAGATTCCAATCTGCAACTCCCAGCTTCACTGGCATTTCCATGATGATACAGTTTCTAGCTTTATGGTTTCTAGTTTTGACTGCGCCCCCAATCCCCCCCCCCAAAAAAAAAGCTAATGCAACTTAACGGTTAAAATTTAACTACTCTTATTAAGATGATCAGTGATTTCAGGCTCTGTCAGAACTCATCAGGTCAGGGAAGGCAACCCAGCCAGAGACAGAAGGGAAATTAGAGCCCAGAACGCTGGGGGGGGGGGGGGGGGGGGGGGGGGGGGGGGAGGGACGATAAAAAACAAGCCATGTTTTTAAATCACTGCAATGACAATAGCTTTGAGGCTATCCCTACCCAAGTCTCCACTCTAAAAATCCAGGAAAAATAATGATAAGGCTGGACAGGGTTGGGGGGTGGGGGGAGGTAAGAGATCAACCGAAGGACTTGTATGTGTGCATATAAGCATAATCAATGGACGCAAGACCCTGGCAGGGGGATGAGGGCATATGCCGGGGGGTAGGGGAGGCTGGGAGAAGGTCAATTGGAGGGAAAAAAAAAAAGAGAGACATATGTACTACTATTTTTAATACTTTAAATAAAAAAACCCCACAAATATCAAACTGTCAATTGGATATCCGTTTGAAAAAGCAGTTCCTACAGCACAGCAAAATCGGTTCTAGATTTTTAGACCCACATGTGAACTGAGCACCATACGATGGTTTCCCCTACCCTCATCCTGGGGGGGGGGGGCACATTCCAAGACCCCCAGGTCATGCCTGAAGCCACGGACAGGACCGAACCCGATACACAGGCAGTCCTCGGGTCACGTCAGACTCGGCGTACGTCGTTTCGTGGTTATGTCGCCATCTCCCATTTATTTATTAAAAAAAAAAAAAAGTTCCGTCATTTCCACGTATGGACATGTGTGCTTTATGTGGTTTTTTTTTAATTATTATTTACTGTATTGACCACAAGTAAAGGTCAGGAATTATTATATTTCTTTAAATTTTTTTACTGTTTCACTTCATGACTGCTGTGTATGTGCTCCACTTAGGTACTTAGGTAGGTGGGTTCCGACTTAGGGCAAAAATCGACTTAACGTCGCAAGCCGTAGGAACAGATGTCCGACATAGAGGACTTACTGTATCCTATATTTTCTTATACATACATACCTCTGAGAAAGCTAAATTTATCAGTTCAGCACAGTAAGAGATGAGCAACAATAATTTAAAAAAAAAACACAGAATAACGCTATGCTGCCATACAAGTTATGCGAACGTGCTATTTTACAAAATATCTTCTTTTCCTGTACTCACCTGTGGGGAAGCCTCCAGGGTGAGAGGAAATGAGGTGACGGACCCAGCGTTTGGCTACTTGACCTTCTGAGGGTCTTGGGTCCTCTGAGGCCTGAGGGGGGGGGGGGGGGGGGGGGCCTAGCAGGACTGCCAGCATCACTACCCTGGCGCTTTAAGGCCATTTTTAAGTAAAATAAGGGTCACTTGAACACAAGTACTGCGATATGGTGACAGTCCCCCCCCATAACCTCCGGGCCGGCCTCTCAGGAAATAACCTGAAAAGGCCGGGACGCAATAACCGCGAAGCTGGAGGGGAAAACGCAGACGTGGAGGCGCCAGCCTACGCAGCACGCAGCACGTCGTCCCGCGAGATTTTCTCCCGGCCGCTGCATCGCGCGAGATTTTGTCACGAGATTTCTCACGCGGGATTTCATCCCGTTTGCTACCCAGAAGAGCGTGGATATTTAAACCTGCGCGTTGTTTATTGAATTGCTTATTTCTGCAATTTTCTTTTCTTTTGTGTTGTTAATTCTCACCCGAGGATATTTTTCCATTGATTTTTAGAGAGAGTGGAAGAGAGGGGGAAAGACAGGGAGACACATCGATGCGAGAGAAACACGTCGATGGGTTGCCTCCTGCATGAGCCCCGGCCAGGGCCCGGGGGAAGGAGGTGCCTGCAACTGAGGTCCGTGCCCTTGACCGGAATCGAACCCGGGACCCTTCGGTCCACAGGCCATCGCTCTGTCCTCTGAGCCAAACCGGCCAGGGCTATTTCTGCAATTTTCCGTTTAATATTCCTAGACCTCAGTTGATGGCGGGTAACTGAGATCGGGGAAAGCAAATTGCCTATGAGGCGACCACCGTTAAGCCTTGAGACCAAACACAGAATATCTTCATGACTCCAGACCAGCGGTTCTCAACCTTCCTAATGCCGCGACCCTTTCATACAGTTCCTCATGTTGTGGTGACCCCCAATTTCATGGTTACAAATGGAACATAATGAAAGCATCGTGATTCATCACAAAAACAACATGTAATTATTTATGTGTTTTCCGATGGTCTTAGGCGACCCCTGTGAAAGGGTCGTTCGACCCCCAAAGGGGTCGCGACCCACAGGTTGAGAACCGCTGCTCTAGACAAAAGTTCCTTAAGCAAGGTGCACAAAGTACATTCAACCGAAAACTTCTTTCTGTTCAAAGCTACCATTGATACAGCACAAAAAGCAAAAAGGCAATCAGACTATGGGGGGAAAAATGCTTGCAAAACCTCCACCATTGGGGGTCCGTTATTCCTATTCTAGAAATAAGGAAACTGAGGCTCCGGAAAGACCAGTGTGTTGACGAAAGACACCCAGGGAATTGTATCCCAGGACAAATCTTGGACTTGAACGGGTCTTTCTGGCTCCGGGTCACTGAGCTCAGCCAACTCCAAGCCAGCAACAATCAAACACGAAGGAACAGCAAGCAGGCGGAGAAGGGAGACCTGGCTTTGATTTCGGAATAGTCCAAATTTGGGGTCGACCAGTCCTCCGGGCTTTCATTCTCCCCTTTCAAATGAGGCCTACTTAGGACCTGTGTAACGTTTTTGTTGCCTTCGAATTAGAGAACGGGCAGCTATAAAAGAAAGTGGGTGAAACGCAGGTAGAAGATCAGGATATGGGGAGAGAAGTTGGAAACTCCTAGGGGTACAACGTACTGGGAAGTGTTGGGACCACAGGTGAATTGCATGCCTGCATACTCCCTCAGGACTATGACTAATCAAAATCGCGGCTGAAAACTAAGGTTAGGAGAAAAGGGGGCATTCATTATGAAAACGAAAGAGGCACTTCATTTGGAAACCATTCACAGAACAGCCACGATGAATACTCAGTAGAAATGGGCCGCTTGACCAAGTAACCATGTATAGCATCGGTTCTCAACCTGTGGGTCGCGACCCCTTTGGGGGCCAAATGACCTTTTCACAGGGGTTGCCTAAGACCATCGGAAAACACATATATTATTACATTTTGTTTTTGCGATTAATCACTGTGCTTTAATTATGTTCAATTTGTAACAATGAAATTGGGGGTCACCACAACATGAGGAACTGTATTAAAGGGTCGCGGCATTAGGAAGGTTGAGAACCACTGATGTATAGGAAGCAAGGAAAAGGACTGGGGGGGGGGGGGGGGCGGGTAGCCTCATCATTTAAAAGTCAGTCGTCCTAAAATTGCTCAGACCCAAGAGTATTTGCCCCCAGTATTTGCTCTGGCCCCCCCAAACCGTGACTCTTTTGAAGGGGTTCATGTAAAAATCAAGAATTGGAGCACAGATCAAAACCTTCAGCCCAAACAGACCCTGTTCATTATGCAAAATATCATGGTAATGGACTGAAACGATGATTTCTCAAAGTGCCTTGAATACAAATTACCATCAGTAAATGGTACCTACTGGGATGATTCCCTCTAGCAAACGAGAGGCCTGGTGCACGAATCTGTGCATGGGTGGGGTCTGGCCAGTCCACCCCGAATGGGACCGATTCTGCAGGGCCCACCAGGGGGAGGGGCTGAGGACGGTTGGCCGGCCGGCCCCGCCCCCTGGTCAAACTCCAGTTTGAGGGGATAATTTGCATATTAGCCTTTTATTATATAGGATTATATAGGATATGCTACTACAAATGATGAAGCTTACCCTTGAGAACAGTTGAGTGGAGGGTGGTTTTCTAGAAATAACCGTAAGATCTGTTTGCTGTTTAAATATAATTTGTACCAGATTCAGAGGGATCTCACAAAGTTCCAAGGTAAACTTTGCTGGAGAAAAACCAAACGGGTAGGTCGCAAACCACTTCTGTTTTTGAAGGTGGTGATAATGATAGCTACTACCGGGTCTAGTTCAAGACAGGTGCCTGGTCAGTCGGCAGATGGGACCAAGGTCGTGTGCTGTCCGGTTTTAGCCTCTTTATTAATGATTTGGAGGAGAAGATACTACAGTACAAATATTTCAGGTAATTTTAAGTGAAATTATCTACCTATCGATGGCACAGACACTATTATTCTCATATGATAAGGGACTTTTTTTCTCTAATCAGAGCCCTATGCTGGGTAACACTTAAATCAATCTGCTGTCAGAGAAAGTTCTGCTTGTCCTTTTTTTTTTTGTGGCTGGACCACTTCGGCTTATGCCGGCCTTTTGGGAGTAAAAATATAAAAAATAAAAACAAATTCAAGGCAAGCCTTAACCATTAAGTAGGTCAAAATTACCACTGCCAGATTGAAATCTGATGGATGCATGCGAAATCAGTCAGGCTAGAGCTATCTGTTAGGCAGTTCAACAAATGATTTCATGTGTTTTAACTTTCCTGACCATTGTTTTGATCTAGTAAAGCAAATACATGCAAAGGCAGGGCTTGTATGTATTATCATAATGAATTAAAGGAACAGGGAGAGAAACAAATCTCAGGGTTTCTCAGCTACAAAGACAGGCCTAATAAAATATTTCCCAGAGAAAAGCTTGATTAAATAATAAATGAGTGAATTCTGGGAGGGCGCAGGCCAATGACACTGGGCTTCCGGAAAACATTCTTTCTTCACCCTGAGGTTTCAAATGCAGCAAGAGGTTAACGTTGAATGTTTTGCCTGAGCCCACAGGTTTTGAGTTGGAGTCCGTGGACCAATTTTGAGAGATATGTAATTTTACAAACATGGATGTGTGTCTGCAGACATGGCTTATGGAAGGAGTCCATGAAATTATTTTGAGCCGAACGCATTTGAGAATCAAGATAGCGGAATCCCCTCCCCACCCCGAATTCCTTTATCTGAATAAAAGTAGAGCCTCCCAAAGGAACTCAGTTGTTTAAATTCCAACAGCAACCTGGGAAGATAGACTGTCATCACCCGAGACAACAAGAAAACATTGCACCTAAACAGATATTGCCTCGCAACCATCCTCTCTGTATTCTAAGGACACACCTGCTTTCCCTAAAAGTCATTTGCGTTCCCATGAGCCATTGGGACCTCCTTCCCTTTCTAAGAAGCCATTTGTCTTCCTGTTTTAAGTGCCTTTCTTCTCTTGTAAAGACAGCGTAGAAGCCTTTTTAATGCTTTAGTAGGTGATCAGTTAGTACTGATAAAAAAAAAAAATCTTTAAAAGCTGACGATTGACTAAACTGAATTTCACACATAGTAAGATGGCGTGGGACCCGTCTCTTTGGTTTATTGTGGAAAATTACTCCCAGCTCTTACACAATTTTAAGTGTTTATTTTCATTGGTTCTCTTTCCTGTTTTTTTTCTTGTTTTTATTGATTTCAAAGAGTGGAAGAGGGTGAGAGAGAGAGAGAGAGAGAGACCTCGACGATGAGAGAGAATCATGGATCGGCTGCCTCCTGCACGCCCCACACTGGGGAATCGAGCTTGCAACCTGGGCATGTGCCCTGACGAGGAATTGAACCCTGACCTCCTGGTTCATAGGCCGGCCCCATACAAATTCCTGGTGACTTACAAAAACCTTCGCATTGCACTTACAACTCCCATTCCGCTTTTGCGTCCAGTGTCTACTTAATCGATTAACAACTGTTTTCCACAGGCAGCTTTTAAGGGTTGATTCGGCCCAGCGTCCCAGTGGCCGGTGGTGGCCTAAACTTGACGCTGAGAATTCCAGTCGGGGGGCTGCAGAGGAAGCAGGTCTAGCTGACGATGCCTTCTGGTCAGGCAGTGTTATTTCATTTTGAAATTCTATAGAAAGAGAACAACAATGAAGCATCGGTTCCGCGTTTAAATAAATACGGGTTGTTTTGCCGCGGAACGTTTTCCTTCCAATGACTGATCCGATCTCGTATGTCTGTTTAAAAAACGCCTGACTGGGGCCCTTACGAAATGATAGACTAGGACAAAGGAGATGATAGCTGGGAGCGAGACAATGAGGCATTGTTTACACAGAAGACTGAGTAACTGGTTTCACAAAAGAGGTTCTTGGGTGTCTATTGTATGTACAACTAAGAGATTTACTGGAGCTTTTATAATTTCTGCAGGACTCCTTTCCAGCCAGCGTTATTAACGTGAAGTAAATCAACTCATGCAGAAATCTGGCTCGGCCGAAAGCAAACCCGGGAAGATCTAATCCGAAGAAAAACAGACACGGGGGATGATAAGGTTTAGAATCTTTGGCATGTTTCATAAACATTTTGTTTGAAGATTATTAAATTACAACCCAGAGAGGGAGGATGGGGGGGGGGGGAGAAACACCATAGTAAAACTCACTATTAAATCAGATCTTTTTCCCCCTCAAATTTCCTTTACAATATATATATTACATATACATATACATATATAACGGCACATACAAAGTATGTGTGGACAAATACAGTCTTTACAACTTACATGTCGCTTGAGAAGAAATTTTCAGATTACATATGTGCACAAAATTGGAACTTTTACGGGGGGAGGTTACTGTGAAATGCTGGGGCCGGCAGGAATCGGGGACTCTTGATGGAAGTGGTACTTTTCTAGGAAAAGGGCTGAGAGATGTATTTTTATCTCGGGTAACTTATTGTACCCTTACGAGGAACAAATGATCAGCTGGGGCTGCTAAAATATCTTCACTTTCTGCTCAAAAATGCGAGCAAATGAGGTGATGATGGCCCTTGGGTAAGCAGCCTCATGTTCATCCCTTGCTCCCAGGCCTTGACCTAAGTACTCTTGAGTTCATTCCTTCCTTCTTTGCCTCATTCATTCCGTCCCCTTTCCTGAAGCCGTCACATGGACATTTTAGTTCGGAAATAAGCACATAGTACAATCGGAAGAAATGGTGCTTTAAGACACCCAAATACTTGCAGGAACCCTTCACTTTTGGGACGAGTGTTCCCTTTTGACCTTCCTGGCACCCATTGCCAGCAACGGGGGTGAGGCAGGATGGCTCCCAGCGCCGGGGACTTGACTGAGATTTGGCATACAGATCTTCAGGAATCACGGCTGAACGCTTCCCCAAGGATCAGGGCTAATCCTGATCATTACTGAAAAATCTATAATAACAAAAGCATAGTATGCTAATTAGACTGGACATCCTTCCGGACGTCCTTCCGGACCAAGCTGGGGCTGTAGCCGCCTCGGCTGTGAGGGAGGGATGGCGGCAGCTGCCACAGCTGGGAAGGCCTACTCTTGCACAGATTTCATCCATCAGGCCTCTAGTCTGTTGATAAGATGCGTTCCTTGGGTAGATGGTATCTATCAAAGACGTGTTAGCTCAGAGGGGAAAAAAACAACGGACTCACAGGAACCATCATGGGAAAGGAGCGTGGGGGTGGGGAGCAAAAATGAGGGAATCCTCACGGGAACCGGCCGCTGGAGGTGTGAGCACAAGTTCAAAGTCCCTCTCGAATGTGAGGGGTCTCCTGGCTGTTCAGCCCCGCGGCAGCCTTGCTTTCTCTCCTCCAGGAGAAGGGATGTGAGTCTTTCAGTCTCCGGATCGCCTCCTCCTGCTGGGCTGGCCCGCTGTGCCGCTAGGACATCCACGCGTGTGCACGTCCCCGTGTGCGTGTGTGCATCTGTGCACTTGAAGAAGCGGGGAGACGACAGGCAGGGCACCATATGACACGTGTGTCCGAACGGCACTGACCGCGGTGCCACCGAGAGAGCCATACCCTGGGCCCCATCGCCCAAACCCAGAACGGGGTGCTGGCGGCCACGGGCGGCGCGGGTCCTAGAGCCCACTGCGCTTCTTGCGAAGGGGGCTCTGGCTGCTGCACGGCCTCAGCTCCGCGTACTGCACCTGTGAAAACAAACAGACGTGACGCTGGCGGTTCGGTAACCCTAGCTCCCCGCACCGTGTGCTAATGGCTCCCCCGGGGGCAGGCCGAGGCAAAGGAAGGAAGGTTCAAAGGTAATGAATCATTCTCTAAACACAGGAACATGGGGGGATTAATTACAGGAAGGATTTGAGGAGTCATGCATCATTTCTGGAAACCAAAATATTAAAAGCAGATTTTTTCTTTTTTTTTTCTAATGAGATGCGTGGGGTTCTTCTACCTGCCCTGGGCACTGCTGGGGGATTTCAGTGGTGTGTGTGCGCGACCCTTCTGCACCATAAGCAAGCTTCGTAACAGCCCCTTGGGAATGTTTGTCTTAGTATATGATACTTACTACAAGTTATTCATTTAAAAAGATCTAAAATCTTGGGGTGCGGGGGAAGACATATCTGCAAATGATATACCATTTATTTTGCCAGAGAGGGAAATAATGTTGAAATTGATACTGGCCCCAGACTTCTATAGATTTCTCTTAAAAATGAATTTCATTTCCAATGGAATGGCTAAAACATCTGTGATAACTATGATCGGGGGTGGGGGGGTGAGTCCTTAGTGGCAAACTGTCTATTGTGTTATTAGAAAGTGCTCTTGGTGATACACGGAGGGTCTCACTGGTGAACTGTACCTTCCTGGGACGTTCTTTTGTTGTGTTTCTGTGTGTTCCTGCCGACGCTAGCTGGATGGCCGCTCTGAGGGCTGCCGTGTGCGCAGACAACCCCTGACCAGGCTCGATGGCAACTGGCATGCTCCAAGGATGTGGGCAAACCCTCACAGTGCCACTCAAGTGCCTGTTCGCTGCAACCCTGCTGCTTTTGTGTGTGAGCTTGCACAGGCTGATGGCGGGATGGCTTTATGTACAGGACTGCAGGGCAGACCACCTGTGCTCACCGCCTGGAGCATTTGTGCCCAACTCTCCAAGGGCAGCAGAACCCATCGCTGTAGGTCTTGACCACTACAGCAGGTCAAGAGCAGATGCATGAACTACCAGTAAAGCTCGATGTCCTCACAGTGCTTTGTGAAGGTGCCCTGGGCGACAGGGGGGGACATACCTGTTGATCTTCAGTGAAGAACAAGCAAGGGCTAGGTGACATTTTTAAAAAAAAATTTAATTGATTTTTTACAGAGAGGAAGGGAGAGGGATAGAGAGTTAGAAACATCGATGAGAGAGAGACATCGATCAGCTGCCTCATGCACACTCCCTACTGGGGATGTGCCCACAACCAAGGTACGTGCCCTTGACCGGAATCGAACCTGGGACCCTTCAGTCCGCAGGCCGACGCTCTATCCACTGAGCCAAACTGGTTAGGGCCCAGGTGACTATTTTATAATCGTGCAATGCAAATGTCAATGAGTAAATTTATATTTTGTAGAATACATTTTTAAAAAATATATGTTGACTGATGTCAGAGAGGAAGAGAGAGGGAGAGATAGAAACATCAATGATGAGAGAATCATTGACCAACTGCCTCCTGCACGCCCCGGACTGGGAATCGAACCCACAACCTGGGCATGTGCCCTGACGGGGAATTGAACTAGTGACCTTTCGGTTCCCGGGTTGATGCTCAACCACTGAGCCCCACCCGGCTGGGCTGTAGAATACATTTTAATAGAGAATTATATCAAAATGAACGTTAAAGGGCTATAGCATCACGGAGTCTGTTTTAATCTCTAGAATTTGGAATGAAGGGGAAAGAAACGCTAGGGCTTCCCAGCCCTACATCCTGAAAGCCACCCAGCGTTCCCGAGCACCATCATGTCACAGCGGCCGGAAGACGGAAGTCGATACCTGTGTCTTCGGTCACCGTGATGCCGGTTCACGCCATGGCCTCCGTCTACCGGTTCTCTGATCCCTAATTCTCCATTACAGAGACGGCTGCCTGCCCCCTGGGCTGACAGCAGCCTGATCGGTGGGGGCCCAGATGGGGCCACTTGAGGGGACTCGCTGCTATTGTTCCCGTAGCTAATCTCTGTGTCTCCACAGAAACAGGACGCCGCTGGCCTAAGTGGCCATTCCCTGCGGATAATACTTCTGATTGATCTCAAATCATCTCACGCTGTCTCTGCCTCTACGCGCATTCGATTAAGTCTGGGCTTTTGCCCTAAGCAGCCCTCAATCTTTACAGGGGATGAGATACCAGGGGGGCCTAGGGGATCATCAGAGCCAACAAGAATAAAGGGAATAATCCCCCTCTCCCTTACTCCCCATAAAACGCCGGCCACCCCTTTTCGGACCTCCCACTCGCCCACGCACTGAGCCCATCTTCTCCTCTTTGGGGGCGGCGAGCGATCCCGACAGGGACCGAGACCCCAGCGTGAGTTCCAGACCGTTCTTAAGTCGCTCTTTTTCAGGATAATTTCCCCCAATCATCTCATGCTTTTGGGACAAAGGTTTCCTGGCCGCCTCCCTGCAAGCCAGGCCTCTGTAAGCATGTTTCCGAAGCGTGATCACAATTACTCACACGCTGGCACAGCCTCGGGCTCTGGGGCTGGCCAGACTCCCGGGGGGGGGGGGTTCTGGGGGGGGGCATTGATGGTGACCCCGTTTGTTCATTACGTACCTTTTGAACATCAGACGGTACCCTGGAGAGGAAGTCTAGTAGCTCGTTATTGTCGATGGCATAGGGATTTCGGAACTTCTTAGTAAATTTATTGATGCCTGAAAAATAGAAGAGACACAGGTTGATCTCGTCGTCTGTCTGTCTGTCTTTCCAACTCGCCCGACTGGGGGAGGAGGGGCCTTCGCAAGTAAGAAATTAGTGTGAAAACAATTCCTGGACCCCCAGCCAGGCCCACGCTGCCGTCATGCGGAATCCTTCACAAACGCCTTTTCTTGCAGGAAGGAAGGAGGGACTGCGGGAGCGGGGCCCTGCCTTCCCCGGCTGTGAAAATCCCATTACGATCCCAGCAGCAGGGCGGCAGGGACACCCACGGAAACCGGGGAGCTCATTGGCGTTTCGGGGCGACACTGATTCACAGCCTCCTCTGCCAGGGAAACACGTGTCCCAGGTGGGAAAAGACCTTCATCAGCCCAAACAAGTCACAGCTTGGGGGCCACGGGCCCAGCGCAGCCGTGGGAGGTGTGAGGCCCGAGTTGTGTGTGTGTGTGTGTGTGTGGGTGGGGGGAGGGGGCTAGGGGGGGTTTGGTGTTGTTAAAAAGAAGCTGCAGAAATCTATCTTTTCCTCCCTCCTCCAACTCATTTTCACAGGTTTCGCCTCTCTCCCTGCAGAACAGAACTCGACATGTTGATTGTACTTCGAGGCGGCAGGAAACTGTGAAGAGTTATTATTGGAAAAATTATCTTCCCAGGGTTTGCTAACTTAATTTATGGACGGCAGCCCCGGGGGGTGTGGGCTGGTCCAGGCAACGGAGTCCATGCTCATTTCAGCCGGGGCCATGGCGACTGGAAGGGGGCTCTGTGCATGGTCTCTCCTCATAATGGGGCTCCTCGAACCCCCTTCTGGCTCCCAGGCTGCTCCTCGCCTGCACCCACGACTCAGAAACGATATCCTTTTCAGCAAATGCCAACCCTCTTTCACGCTGAGTTTGAGAGGGTGAAAAATTAAGGTGGCCTTCTGAGGCTCTGCCACCGAGAACTAGTGTAACAAGGGTCGTGGCGGGAAGTCTTGTCAATTTCAGCGACGCGGAGTGAATTGTCGCCTGAGGTGTGCACCTAGACTGGCTCCTATTCCCCAGCCCAGGTCACGTTTCATTGTATGTGTTTGTTTTTCGTTTGTTTTTACTTTTTATTGATTTGAGAAAGGAAGGGAGAGGGAGAGAGAGAGAGAGAAACATCAGTGATGAGAGAGAATCATTTGATTGGCTGCTTCCTGCACGCCCCTTACTGGGGATCGAGCCTGCAACCCAGGCATGTGCCCTGACTGAGAATTGAACCGTGTCCTCCTGGCGCTCACCACTGAGCAACACTGGCCGGGCACACTGAACTGTTTAATGATCCCTAACACAGACACAGTTTGATGTTTTTCTAATTTCATTGATGATGACTTTACGTTCATCGAAGGGCGGGGCTTCCTGGATGGCCCTGTACCTGACACAATGCCAACCACCAGGCATTTCCTTAGAGCAGCGGTTCTCAACCTGTGGGTCACGACACCTTTGGGGGTCGAACGACCCTTTCACAGAGGTCGCCTAAGACCATCGGAAAACACATATACAATTACATATTGTTTTTGTGATGAATCACTATGCTTTCATTATGTTCAATTTGTAACCATGAAAATACATCCTGCCTATCAGATATTTACATGACGATTCATGACAGTAGCAAAACTAGTTATGAAGTAGCAACGAAAATAATTTTATGGTTGGGGGTCACCACAACATGAGGAACTGTATGAAAGGGCCGCGGCATGAGGAAGGTTGAGAACCACTGCCTTAGAGAGAGAGGGTCAGGTGACCATCTGCTTTGCAAATGGCAGCCAGGCCACTGTTCACGGGTAGATGGAAGTGAGGTGTTTGGGCCTTGGAAAAAGACGTCTTATAAATGATCCCTTTTCTCCCAAGTCAGAGCTGCACTGTCTTTCTCCCCTCTACCCCCACAGAAGCTTGATGTTTCTAGCTAAAACTACCCCCTCTCCTCCCCCCTCCCCCCTGCGCGTTCCTTTAAACTAAAATCCACGGGCTGTGTTCTTCTAAAGGCATTAATTGTAGCATGGGCTCTTTGGCAAAAGGAAACAGACAAGGCAAACCGACGCAGGGAGACAAAGGCGTGCGGAGAAAGCATACATCTTCTGTTGTTAATTATATACAGTGTGCGCATCTGGAGTTTTTGCAATGAACAGCCAGGCAGGGATAATACCCCAGCCGATCAAAACACCACATTCTTAGTTACTGAGAAGATTATAAACCTGCATCGTCGCTCCGATGCACCAGAGAGGGCAGGGGTAGCCCACAATGCACTGAGACTGACTACGGAAAACTTAGCTGGAATAAAAAGTTATAAGGCACTCGGATTGCAAGCTTCAAAAGCACGCCTTTGAAAAAAATATATATAGCCCTAACCGGTTTGGCTCAGTGAATAGAGCGTCCGCCTGCGGACTGAAGGGTCCCGGGTTCGATTCCGGCCAAGGGCATGTACCTGGGTTGTGGGCACATCCCCAGTAGGGGGTGTGCAGGAGGCAGCTGATCGATGTTTCTCTCTCATCGATGTTTCTAACTCTCTATCCCTCTCCCTTCCTCTCTGTAAAAAAAATCAATAAAAATATATTTAAAATATATATATATATATATTTTTGACTGATTTCAGAGAGGAAGGGAGAGGAAGAGAGAGATAGAAACATCAATGATGAGAGGGAATCATGGATAGGCTGCCTCCTGCACGCCCCCGACTGGGGATCGAGCCTGCAACCCGGGCATGTGCCTTGACCGGGAATCAAACCGTGACCTCCTGGTTCATAGGTCAATGCTCAACCACTGAGCCACACCAGCCGGGCCTGTCTGAGCATCTCAATATCTGAAGATCCTAATAGCGACGACGGTTGAGAACGCCGCAGCAGTCATAGGAGCCAAGTAACGGAAAACCAGGCCTGACACAGACTCTTGTGGGGAAAGGTGGATGGCTTCTCCCACTTAATTTCCTGCAATGCACCCTCCTGCATCAACTCACAGCCCACCCAGCAACCATCGCAAATTCTCACCAAGCTGCTCGGATTTTGGCCGACTGCTGGCCGGGGTAGTAAATCAGGTCATGCAATTTACTTCCAGTTTGCCATTTTGGTATCTGCTTTTTTAAAAGCAGCTAACCTGTATACGGGCGCACCATTTCCCCTGGTAAATTATACCTTCCTCTCCTTCCTGGCCCTCCTTTACCCCCACTGCTTCTGGGTTTAAGTATTGGGTTGGGCTGTTTTTTCCTCCAGGAGAGATGAAGTGTCAGGAGCAACCTGGCTACTTTCACACACTACGAAGGGCGAGGTGCAGATGTTCGCTCACTGTTTGAATAACAGTGCAAAGGCAAGGCTACGGGACCACAGCCATATATTATTCCAGGGGATTTATGGCTATGAAGGCCGAAGGGAAGTCACACGCACGATCCCGTTTTCATTGGATCACAGTTATGCAACAGCCCTTTCAATAGCGATGCTGATCATTCACCCAAGCTGGCCTTTTCAGGGAGGTCCTGGATTCCTGGTTGCCTATATGCTTTCTTTAAGCTCATGTTTAATTGCCGGCAGGAGCACATTGAAAGTTTACAGTCACATTTTAAAAAGTGAATAATAATTGGCCCTGGCTGGTGTGGCTCAGTGGATGGAGCATCGGCCTGCGGACTGAAGGGTCCCAGGTTCGATTGCGATCAAGGGCACATGCCCGGGTTGCAGGCTCGGTCTCCGGCGAGGGCCTGCAGGAGGCAGCCGATCAACGATTCTTTCTCATCATTGATGTTTCTCTCTCTCTCCCTCTTCCTTCCTCTCTGAAATCAATAAAAAATATTTTTTTTAAAAAATGAATGAGTAATTGGTTCTTACCTGGAATGGACTGCTAGCCAAAGGACCGGGCCACACTTACCCCAGATTAACACGAGGTACCGAAGTGGGACGAAGTACAGCGTGACGGTGGCGACCGCCAGCACCACACAGGCCAGGAATGAAAGGAACGGCACCGTCCAGTTAAACGTGCTGCAGGCAAACCACAGGAACGTCAATTACTGAGGCGGGAACAGCTACAGCGATTCATTGCTCACGTTTACTTCTTACTCATACAAGTGGAAACGGTCTATGGCAGCGGTTCTCAACCTGTGGGTCGCGACCCCCTTGGGGGTCAAACGACCCTTTCACAGGGGTCGCCTAAGACCATCGGAAAACACATAGATAATTACATATTGTTTTTGTGATTCATCACTATGCTTTAATTATGTGCAATTGGTAATCATGAAAATACATCCTGCATATCAGATATTTACATGACGATTCATAACAGTAGCAACATTACCGTTATGAAGTAGCAACGAAAATAATTTTGTGGTTGGGGGTCACCACAACATGAGGAACTGTATGAAAGGATCTCGGCATTAGGAAGGTTGAGAACCACTGGTCTATTGGGAAAGTTTCTTTGAAAACCCGGAGAGAAAGTCTGCCGGAACGACTGGGCACCGGAAAAACGTTCTTCAGGAGAAGGTCACCAGACCAATGGCCATTGAGCTTCCTGGACCTGACAGTTCCCAGGAGAAGCTTGGCTCTCAAAAGTGATTAAAGACTGCAATACTGCCCAGCCAGCGTGACTCAGTGGATGAGCATCGACCTAGGAACCGGGAGGTCACAGTTCGATTCCCGGTCAGGGCACATGCCCAGGTTGTGGGCTCCATCCCCAGTGTGGGGCGTGCAGGAGGCAGCTGATCCGTGATTCTCTCTCATCATTGATGTTTCTTTCTCTCTCTCTCTTTCTCCTTCTCTCTTCCTCTCTGAAATCAATCCTATATAATAAAAGCCTAATATGCAAATTGACCAAACGGCAGAATGACCGGTCGCTATGACACACACTAACCACCAGGGGGCAGACGCTCAACGCAGGAGCTACCCCCAGCTTGCAGGTCCCAGGCCAGCCAAGCGGGTGCCAGCGGGAGTCCTCCCCCTCACCCCCTTGATCACCCCACTGGTCGCCCCGATCACCGGCCAGGCCTAGGGACCCTACCCATGCACAAATTTCGTGCATCAGGCCTCTAGTAAAAATACATTTAAAAAAGAAAATACAGACCATTTTATGTAAATGCAACCCCATCGGGGGAGCCTCGCTCTCGGGGTTTTATGCAAGTCTTTTAGGTGCTGGTTGCCAATAGCTGGGAGAAAGTTTTCCGTGGTCCTTAAGCCCCGAATTACAATGGAATTCTGACAGAGTTACACAAGACAGTCCCCTGAAGTGCCCAGCGGGGACACGAAGGTCACTGTCCTCATGAATGGCCCAAGAAATTAATAGGAGCCGAGCCTTCCTGTGTCGCAGCTGGGCGAAACAGTGCCCCGTTCATGGCTGAAAATATGTCCTGGCCGTGGCCACCGCAGCTGTGCCGGGGCAGCCGGCCCTCGGAAGTGCTGCAGAGAGTGGGGGCCTGTTCCCGTCACTGCCCTCTTCTGCCGTCAGACACATTTCCTTGCTCATTACCAGCCACACAACAGCCATGTTTGTCTGCAAGAGACGTTCAGGCACGGAGATGCTTTCACCAAACACACGGCCTTCCTTCCTCGGGCTTGCCCCCACTCCACAGCCTCTCATCCTCACTCAATTATTTTTAAATATGTTTTTATTGATTTCAGAGAGGAAGGGAGAGGGAGGGAGAGATAGAAACATCAGTGATGAGAGAGAATCATGGATCGGCTGCCTCCTGCACGCCACCTACTGGGGTGGAGACCACAACCCAAGATGTGCCCTTGACCGGAATCGAACCTGGGACCCTTCAGTCTGCAGGCTGACGCTCTATCCACTGAGCCACACCAGCCAGGGCTCAATTTTTTTTTTCATTGACTTTTGCAAGCCACTCAAGTCCCTGAATGATCCGCCTCACCTCCTGGCATGCCATGACCATGGCCTATAGCACAGACACGCTAACTCACCTACACGTCCCTGTACCTAGCACGGTCTTGGGCTCTCAGCCTTGGTGCAATGGTCTGCACCGACTGAAGCCCCCAATCAACGGTTCTATGCCCAGCTGTCTGTCTCTCCCCATTCTCAGAGAAGCTGACAATTTGTTGCATCGTCAGCATTGCCCTCTGTCTCTCTCTCGTACATCTCTTTCTGGGCTGGTCCGATCTCTCCCCTAACATCACGTGGTTCTGACAAAAAAGACTCCTTTAAAATCTATCTGCTTCCCTTTTTATTTGTGAATAGGAAATTATTTTTTTTTAATGTAGTTTATCACCCAGCCTAAGGTCTTTTTGAGAGTGAGCAGGACACTATCCATCGTTATGCCGGGCCATCTGGTCACCCCAGGTCTGAGGCATTGCCCAACTGTGAGACTGACAGGCCCAAAGAGCACACCAGCCAGACTTAACAGGGCTTGCCTGGCACCCTGGCGGCAGTTTTGGGGTTCTGCGTCTTCTGACCTCACGCTCCCCACCCACACTCGCCCTAGTGGATGGCAACTCTAACCCAAACGCCACGATGCAGAGGTAGGACTTACTTTTTAATTCTTTCTCCAAAGGAAGCTACTTCCTCCAAGATGTTCTGGACTGTGGAAACGATGTCCTGTACCATGTAGATTCTTTCGATGATGCCCTTTTTCTCGGATTCCTAAGAAACGTAAAAGAGAGATTGGACGCAGTTACGCTCTCCTTATATTTCCGGTATAGAAAGGAGTATGGCCAGATTATTATGACCGGCCAGCTTATTATGACCACCCCATCAGTACAATGAAGTGAATTAGTTATGCAAATAATAATAATAATAATAATAATAATAATAAAACCTTGAGAGTATTTGCTTAGGAAATTTTCAATATTCAGTATTTTTGGAAGTGTCAATGAAGTACTGATGGGGTGGTCATAATAATCTGGCCAGTCATAATAATCAGTGTGTGCGTGTGTGTGTGTATACACCTGACATTTGTAGGCAAATTAATTATAATTTTGCGCTGAAGTTGCTAGAGGGCCAGATCATTATAAATGTCTGAATAGCACAACATACCTAAGTATCATTGCTGATCAAGTTCACCTTATCATGTTGATGGCGTATCCCAATGGAGATGGCTTCTTCCAACAAGACAATGTGCCCTGCCACGGTGCTCGTATTGTGCAGGAGTGGTTTCAAGAACATGAGGGAGACTTTACCTTGCTTAGGTGGCCCCCATAATCTGGCCACTCAGTGTATGTGTGTGTGTGCGTGTGTGTGTGTGTGTGTGTGTGTGTGTGTGTGTGTGTGTATACACACATACACATATATTATTGATTTCAAGGAAGAAGGGAGAGGGAGAGAGAGAGAGAAACATCAATGATGAGAGAGAATCGTTGATTGGCTGCCTCCTGCAGGCCCCCTACTGGGGACCAAGCCCGAAACCCAGGCATGTGCCCTGACAGGGAATCAAACCATGACCTCCTGGTTCATAGGTCGACGCTCAACCACTGGGCCACACCAGCTGGGCCGTAAGTATTGACTGAATCCCCAAAATGTCCTGCCCATCCATCCAGATGCAAACACTCTCCGTGTGCAAGCTTCCCGTGCTCCCACGATGAATGGAAGCCGCATGGAGCCAAGACCTTCATCTCCCCGTGGGGGCGATGCGTCTGCCAGGGAACTCTGTCATTCCCTTTGGCTGACCCTGGCTTCCTCTTTGTCTTCACCAGGCTATCGCCAGCTCCCCTGTGCCCACCCCACCCCCCGTCATAGTGCTTCAAAGAGGGTTCCGGCAGGGAACAGCATGGCATGTTGGCTAGGCAGACCCTATGGTTTCCTAGCACTGTGGCTTCTTAGTCAAACGCTGCTGCATTTAAAAAATGTATATTTTTTCCCTGACCGGTTTGGCTCAGCGGATAGAGCATCAGCCTGCTGACTGAAGGGTCCCAGGTTAGATTCCGGTCAAGGGCATGTACCTTGGTTGCAGGCACATCCCCAGTAGGGAGTGTGCAGGAGGCAGCTGATCGATGTTTCTCTCTCATCGATGTTTCTAACTCTCTATCCCTCCCCCTTCCTCTCTGTAAAAAATCAATAAAATATATTAAAAATATATATGTATTTATTGATTAACGCTGCTCTGTGGTCTCCTCGCTCTGTGATCGAGGCAAGTTCCTGATCCCTTTCTGAGTTGCAAATTTGTTATCTAGAAAAGGGAGATCATAGGGAGCCCTTGGAGAAGTTAACAACACATCAGCACTTGGTACACTAGGCACTTCACACACGTAAGCCTGTCCCCTGCAAGAATGCAAAGAGCCGGCCGGTGTGGCTCAGTGGTTGAGCCTCAACCTATGAACCAGGAGGTCACAGTTCGATTCCCGGTCAGGGCACATGCCCGGGTTGTGGGCTCCATCCCCAGTAGGGGGCGTGCAGGAGGCAGCCGATCCATGATCCTCTCTCATCATTCATGTTTCTCTCTCTCCCTCTCTGAAATCCATAAAATATATAAAGAGAAAACAAAAAGGAATGCAAAGAGACAAAAGGCTGAATAAGCAACTTTCAGTCCAGTCAAAACAGCCCTGGGGTTCATTTAAGTTTCAGAAGCAATGAACTTCCAGGGCAAGCCTACTCATGTCGCCCGGTGCTGCCTGAGCGTATCTGGCAGCTCTCTCGGCTACACGCTGGCTTTATTTACACGTTTCCGACGGCACCGGGGAATGCGGGGGTAACACAGTTTAGCAAACACAACGTTACATCTGCGGCTGCTACCCGATCCCCAGGAGGCCTGGCGGGGACCCATTCAGAAAGACAGACCTGCTGCCTCACGCGCTGATGTTTTCCTTACCATAGGACGCTTCCAATTATTCGAGGAAATGAGTAATAAAAATTGTGATAGCCGCTGGGGCCGTTCCACCAGCAAGCCACGTCACAGCGGCGGACAACGTATTTGTTAGATTTCGAGGGAGAGTGGATTTTACTTCTTACGGCTTTGAAAGCACACAGGGGCCTGAGTAAGAGTCACATGACTTAGGGTCTCGTTTACGGCATGATGGGAGAGGCGAGAGCACGGAACTTTCCAAGACCCAGGCTTTGGATTTCATAATGCTCCTCTGTTCTGTATAGAGCAAGAGTGGCACCTGTCGTCAGAAAAAGAATGAAAATGCCAACTCTATAACCTAAACATAGAGACTACATACAAATAAAGGCAAAATCACCATTTTTTTTCATTGTCCATTTGTTTCTAAAATGATAAAAAGAAACACACACACACACACACACACACACACACACACACACACAAAGAAAACCCGGAGTCTTTAGGCCAGCCGTGGGCAAACTACGGCCCGCGGGCCGGATCCGCCCCGTTTGAAATGAATAAAACTAAAAAAAAAAAAAAAGACCGTACCCTTTTATGTAATGATGTTTACTTTGAATTGATATTAGTTCACACAAACACTCCATCCATGCTTTTGTTCCGGCCCTCCGGTCCAGTTTAAGAACCCATTGTGGCCCTCCAGTCAAAAAGTTTGCCCACCCCTGCTCTAGGCTAAGTTTCGTAAGCAGCTGAAATAAGAACAGAGTGGACCCGTGTGTAACAGAGCTGTTGTGTGTGTGTGTGTTTTTTTAAAGAACAAAAATGAAATAAATCAAGAAGCAAATATTTCGCCCTGACCGGTTTGGCTCAGTGGATAGAGCGTCAGCCTGCGGACTGAAAGGTCCCAGGTTCAATTCCGGTCAAGGGCATGTACCTTGGTTGCGGGCACATCCCCTGTAGGGGGTATGCAGGAGGCAGCTGGTCGATGTTTCTCTCTCATCGATGTTTCTAACTCTCTACCTCTCTCCCTTCCTCTCTGTAAAAATCAATAAAATATATTTTTTTAAAAAAAAGAAGCTAATATTTCCTTCACGGCTCCATTGCCTTTCCCATGCCTCCAATGACTAGAGCAGTGATGGCGAACCTATGACACGCGGGTCAGAGGTGACACGCGAACTCATTTTTTTGGTTGATTTTTCTTGGTTAAATGGCATTTAAATATATAAAATAAATATCAAAAATATAAGTCTTTGTTTTACTATGGTTGCAAAGATCAAAAATTTCTATATGTGACACGGCACCAGAGTTAAGTTAGGGTTTTTCAAAATGCTGACACGCTGAGCTCAAAAGGTTCGCCATCACTGGACTAGAGGATTGTGGGAGAGAATTAACACCATCACCATGAATTTACAGCTAAGAATTAATTATATCATCAGTCTGTGACTTTAAATCTTTCCTACCTGTTCTGATTTAGGAAAACTCCTTTCTCTCTCTTTTTTGATATATGTTTTTATTGATTTCAGAGAGGAAGGGAGAGGGAGAGAGGGAGAGAAGCATCAAAGATGAGAGAGAATCATGGATCGGCTGCCTCCTGCACGCCCCACACTGGGGATGGAGCCCGCAACCCGGGCATGTGCCCTGACCGGGAATGGAACTGTGCCCTCCTGGTTCACGGGTTGACGCTCAACCACTGAGCCACACCGGCCGGGCTCATCTTTGTCTCTAATTACCTAAGCAAAACCAGAGACATAGTCCTGGAAGTACATCACAGCAGGAAAAACCTTTTTGACACGCTGAGACATTGCGTAGTATTTGTCACAGGATGCACAAGGTCCCCAAAAGCCATCCATGCCTCATTTCTACCCCAAGATCTCCCCAGTCATTTCAGCCATGCAGAGCCAAGAGGCAAACATAGAATGTTAGACTGCAAAGGGGGGTATGTCTGGGCTGTCTCCTCCCACTGCATAGTAAAAGCCTGCCATTTGAAGACATGCAAACACGATAAACATCGGAAATAGATAGAGTGGCATTCAGCATGAAAAAACACACACACACACACACACACACACAAAACAACAAACCCCTCTCAACATCTGTCATAACAAAGACCAAGCAGCAATATTTCTGATAACACAAGATTAAAAACGGGTCTTTCGGAAGCCTGGCTTACTGACTGGGAACTGTCTTCAGGCACAGAACCCATGAGATGGGTTGTGTGTGCACGGAGACACACACACACACACACACACACACACACACACACACGCACGCACTCAACTCCACGGTGCACGCCGTTTCCAGGAGGGAAAGAAAGTCATTGCTCTTTCCGGAGAGGCATCCCTCTCCAGTAGTCCATTTGCTTTGGGGAAATGAACAGAAAACAGACTGTTTGGGTTTTGAGTCAATAGAATTCCTAAGTGGATTTAAACGGCTCTCCCTGTCTGCTCATTGCACACCGCGCTCCCACGCTGACAGGTACTTGCCGGCGTGTGCTTCTGGCTTCAACATCTCATTAGGAGTTCCTCTCACCCACTGACAGGTGCCAGGCCTGCGACCACCAGGCAGGGCTGAGGCTTCCTGGCCCTGGAACTACTGCGGGTCAACACGCCAGGAGCTGCAGCTGCTGACTGACCAGGGTGCCCTTTCGTGTTGTTTGAGGTGGGGAAGTGAGGCGGGTGGAAGGAAAAATATGTGTGTGACCAAACAATGCAATAAGAAATTCTAACATGTTAGAATTAGAGAGAGAAACATCAATGATGAGAGAGAATCATGGATCAGCTGCCTCCTGCACGCACCCCCACTGGGGATGGAGCCCCCAACCTGGGCATGTGCCCTGACCAGGAATCAAACCGTGACCTCCTGGTTCCTA